CCGGTTATTAATGAGATAAAAAAATCTGCTGCGTTACTGAATCAACAAGATAATTCATTCTGAAAAAATTTCGTTTTTCTGAACTATTGATACAATTTTGGATTTTCATGAGTAAAAAAACATTTTGTTGTGTGTTTTTCTGAATTAACGAGATGTAAAATCCTGGGATAAATTCCTGTCTATCTAACTGAAAGACACAAGTATCTCGCAATGTCTCAATCCCCTACCAAAATAAATGTGGATCAAACTACAGAGGCGAGACATTTTTTCTGAGCTAAATAAAGCTCATTTCGGGATTTTTAGATGGGCTATCTCGTTTATTCCCTTCCTTCCACTATCCACAAAAATGAATTCAAAATATCCTGGATAAGAACTCTGCTGTCTGGCCTATTTGTAGCCAGTGACTGTGCTGTAGCAATCAGGGGAGAGAGCCCTCGGAAACAAAGTGCCACCTACAACCATGCTCAACCACTTGTGAGTAAGTCTCAGCTTTCAACGATGATGTTTCCTCCTGTTTTTACGCTATTAAATGATTAATTAAAACCAAACAATTGAATCCCTCCTAGAGTTGCGAATCCAGACAGTGCTGTGCTGTCCAAAAATGGCCACTGGCAAGATTACAGCGAAAAAAAGCATGACTACAATGATTATAATTAAGGTGAATTAGATGGACAAAGTCTCCTGAACATCAGAGGTTCATTTTCCCCCAACTGCTCATGTTAAAGTGTGATTTCGTATAGACAGTATTGAGTGTTGTATTTAGTTTCCTGTTTGTTGTGTGAGACTTGATTATTCCTGCATTGTTAGCTCATCATGCTTTTCAGCACCAAAGAAACAGACACATTCAAGCATTTCTTGCACCAGAGAGCAGGGAGTGAAACTTAGTGTGACCCTGGTGATCATCATAGACAGTGACAGTTAGTCAGCAGGTCTCTGATGTGTGAAATGATTCACACAGATACAGTGTCCGAAGTGTTCAACCATTTTCAGATGAGCTTCATTTAATTGGTCAGCATGAACATGTCAAATGGAGGTGGAGCTTTAGTTAAAGGAAGGGAGGGTTCAGACTGATCACCACAGAAACAGTGCAATGATTTTGCCTGATTCATAAGCGTCATTCTGACGGAAATGAAGTGCTTGAAGCGTAGATGCTGTTTTACAGGATTTCTTAAATTCAGATCAAACATCTAGCAAGTCAAACAAATGTTGAGATTACGTCTCCAACCTCACAACCCTGCAGCCACTCATGCACGCGGAGACATACACACCTTGACAATGTCCCTCCATCCACAGGTGGGGGGAGCAGGGGAAATGATCCTCCCAGGATATTTCCTGTGCTATATCCCTGTTTGATGTGGCTGACCTGGGCCTCCCTGCTCCTCTCTCCACAGGTTTGCACTAATCAGAAGCTCCAGCTGCCGAGTTCTTGGATTGAACTCTCATTTTAAAATGCCAACCAGCATCCACAGGCAGGAAGGAGGAGGACTGCTGGTAGGGGTCTCCTGTGCAGGTGGTGTCACGTGATGCAGCCAGGGTCGGGAGGGAGATGCTTGTGATTGATAACATTTGAGAGGAGACAGAATGTATTTTAAAATGCAGTTCTGACTGTGTTATTGTGAAAATGCCAACACAACAGCACATTCTGACTTTGAAGGCCTGTTGGAATGTGGCAGGAGGGTACAATCTTTTCAAAGGCCTCTATAATCTCCTGAGAGAAATCTGAACAGCACTCACTTTTAAGGAGTTGGTGTGAACAGAACTGCATGCATCTGAAATATGCATGTTTATATCGCATACATGTATGAATAACTATCCCACAGGATAAGAGAGTAAGGCCTTAATGTTGAGATTCAGCAGTTAGCTCATGAATTTTTAATTGAAAACTTTTATTTAATATGATGGAATTAGGAAACCAGACCAATTAATATAATTTCAACATAATATTTGTAACCAACATCAGACCAATCTTATCACTGTGTATAGAGCTCCTCCTACTGACTCTAAACAGAGCAGCTTCACTTTTTTCCTTGAAGTTACACGCTTTACCAAGCGTGTAACTTTATGATGTTTGCATGTGCGTACCCACAAATTAATAATATCTGTTGTGAGTATCAGGTTTTTGTTCTGAAGAAGTCAGTGACAGTGACATACAGTGGTGGTTATTTATCTGGTTGGTTTTTACTCCATCTAGTGGTTCTTATTCCACAATACAGTTGCTGGCAGTTTTTTGTACAAGTTATGTCTGACTCACAGTTCAGATTTTTTGCAGCTACTTCTTCTAATATTGTAGATATTCACAGTATAAATATATACTGTAAATAGAATAAGTTATTATAGAGCTTCCCTAAAACCATACAGGAGTTTGTGGGTGTCTTTACTTTACTTGCAGAACTCTTAGAATTCAGTTTTGCTCTTATGCATATTTGGGGTGGAATATAAAAACTTGCAGCAACCTGGATTTTAAGAAGAATCCTGATTTAAAAATGCATTTTATTTTAAAACATCTTTGCTGAAAGAGCAACAATACAAACTTGAACAATTGGGGTTAGGAAACTTTTTCCACCAGGGGGCATCTTCACTCTACATTCAAATTAAAACTAAATTTCAAAATATACTTTTGAGTTTTTTTAACTGATCTTCCATCTTTTAATGAAATTATATTTGTGGCGTGGTTTATTTTCTTTGAAAATATGCAAGTAATGCAAGTAAAACACAAAATGTTTGCACACAAGCACAAATTTCTACTGGTGGAAAACTTCTCAGTTCTCAATGTAGAATTTTTGTTTGTTTTACAAATTCCCACATCCAGCACATGATGTCTTTCCTCTTATTAGTATGTCCAATATGATGAATATTATGAGGCATATTTAAATCATTTTTACAAGTTATTTTTATGAATATTTAAATTGTGCTGTCATTTACTCTTTTGACTTCTTAATTCACGTATTGATGAGGTGTCAACTGCAAAGCCTCGTTTTGTTTGTTTTTATGAGTGAAATGATTTAACCTTTCTCTTTTGTTGCTTTAGTGCTGCAAAACACATACTGTACACATACTGTATTGAGATATCTAGTAACATCATGTCTGCACTAATGCTGCATATAATAGGAGCTTTTCATGTTAAGCAAACATGACAATGCAGTAAATGTATGTTCCTTTTATTGTAACTTGATATCATTTTTTTGTCTCCTGCTCGTGAGCTTCCTCTTCTTACCCCATCTTAAGTCTGTGCCTTTATACCTCTCAGGGAACACAATGAAAGGATCACTTTTTAAATGGAGATTAAGTGTTCTTAGGGATTTGACCAGAGTTGCTTGACCCAGAAATACCCCCCACTCTCCACAAGCTGAGGAATTTCACAGCTGTGGCTCCTGTTTTTTTTTCTCAGACTGACTAAAACCCCGCCCACAGCAGGGAAGAGGCTGCAAACATGCTCTGTGAATCTCACAAAGTCAAAATGTATTAGTTATGAGAATGTCCCCAGCATATGACTAACGTTTAACAACATCTGGGAGTTTACAACATGATTCGATATTGGAGTTTAGATTTGGAAATTATGTTTCCTCAAACTTTTGTCAAACTTTCTGGGTACCTCTTTTGAAAAAAAAAAAAGGCAAGTTACTCATCCGTTGGCATGTCAGGACAGTTTGTTGAGAGCTGTAAAAGAGGAGGAGTTTGGGGATTAAGAGATTGATGGAATTCCTCTGTGAAAACACACAGTGTTAACTTATCCATCTACAGTCTTGCTTTGTCCTTTTACAGCATTTGTGATTCTGCCACATTTATACTTATATTCTGTAGATTCCTTATAAAGATGGTTCGTTACGGCTAACACTGTTTATCAGTGATTTAATATCAATCTCATGTCTTTAGGCAAAACCAAAAGTCAACTTTATTGTCAATTCGGCCATATGTACAGGACAAAGACTGGATGGAAAAGCTGTTTCTCTCTAATCCATTGCGTAAGCATATAAGAAGACAAAATATATAAGTACACAACATGACCTCAAGTGACCTGATAACACGACATAGTACACAGTGAAAAGGAACAGGGTAGATAGAGTGTGAGTATTGCAAACCAGAATAGCACAAAAAATAATTGAGAAGTGCAAAATATTTCATAGGAAGTAATGTTCATCCACAGGATAAGTAAAATAGCAGCAGATGTAGGATAGCAGCAAAAACAAGAGTTGAGACTGAGCAGGGTTATATTCTTTGGGCCTCTATCCTTACTATATTTTATTTACAGCAATATTGCATCAACTGAAATGGGAGGTCCTGGTCAGGTCAGGGCAGGCTTTTTTATTTTTTTACGACAGGGGCTCTCCTCAACACCCCCATACTTCATCCACCCTGTAATCAGCAGTTGAGAAGGACCAACGTGGCAGTGTGGGGGCAGGGGTGGGGACGGGGGTGGGAACGGGGGCTGGGCTCGAGATGTTGCAACTTTGCAACTTCTGAGTAACATAAATGCAAGTGATTGATCTGACGTTCTGGATGTTTTAATTTAAAATCCAACAAGTTGTACTACAATTAAATACTGCTTCCATTCTCTGGTGTCCCATCTAATGAGAGTGCAGAGGGGGGAGTGTCTTTAAAGAGGCTCACACACTCACACAAGTTGCAACTGCTGAAAAAACAACTTGAACGTTCCACATTATCTGATTTCTCATGCATTCAAACAACTCATATTGAAGCTCAGCTTAATCTTTTCAATGTGATGAAAGTAGAGTTGGAGATTGAGTCAGCAAAGAGTGTGAGGACCTGAAGGCTGAGCACTATTTCTGCACATCAGCAAACCACAACTGATCCACAATCAGATTTTCTCTGACTTTCTCTTTTTAGCCGCTTGTGGCAAAAGTCTCAAAGCTGAGTCCAGACCAGTGCTGAAGAATTAAACTCCAGCCAACCCCTTTCATTCCAGCCTGTGGGACGTCCCAGCTCCAACTTCCTGAGGAAAACACAGACACCCCTAATTTGAATATCCCATTCCCACTTCTAGAAAGTTCTCTCACAGGGTATAAAGAGCAGGAGACGGAACTGCAGTTACATCACATTCACAGGACACAGCTCAGAGGCGACACATAGAGTGAATCTGTGCCAGGTAAGGAAGGAAGATAATGGTCTTTTTTTTCAGGAGGGAGCAGAAGATGAATGCGCTGCTTTGTTTTTCAGGTTTAAAGTTTCAGTCCAGCATTTTTCCATTTTAACCAGTTTGAAATCTACTGCTATTTTTCTTGCTTTTGACCTGCATATTTCACAGGACTTATTTTTTAGGAAAACAACTCAATAGAGGTTAAAATCCTTTTTCTACTTATTCCAGCGTGATTATCATATTATTTAGCCTCCCGCATGTTACTGCTATTTTGGTCACTGCTATTTTGAGCATTCAAATATATTTAAGTGCATATCCAATGAAAAAAGTTTGATTTATGGGCCCAATCTTAGTCTGGATCTGTAACGGTTCTGAAGATGGGAGGTTCATCTCTCCTATAGAAATCAGTGCTGCTCCACTGTGGCACATCTGATTGGATGAAACTCTTTTTTTCTGGGTCACACACCACAGCCAATGAAAACATTTCCTGTGTGTGAATGTGAACAAGCAGAGCAGACTTGCATTATAACCTCAACTTGGACGTTTCTAATTCTGACAGATGAATAACTGGAAAATAAGACGGAGGAATCAGATGTCACAGAATGTTTCAATCAGAGCATAAATAATGTTTTACTGACTGCTCTGTGGAGATTACTACATACACCTCTTGTCTTTCAGAATGAAAATCGCAGACATCAAAACATCTCAAGGTATCCTAACATGATGCAAAAGTAATATATGTTGTAACACAAGTATTCAAGCACAGAGATGAAGACAATGTATCTCTGCAGTGGTGGATTGAAGTCAGAAATGTGTAGAGACATATCAGGGAAATTGGTTTATTACAGTCTTAAGACTATTAATCTAGTTATTCGTTATTAAACAAGGACAATGCACAACAACATTGATCTCAAAATGAGAAGAGATGATTTATGCCACATTTATCAGCTTATTTCAACAATACCTCTCTATCACACAACCAGCTATACAGAGAAATCTATGAGTACACATCATTGAAATTTCAACACAAAATCTAAATCACAGTCAGTTTAATGTTGACATGACTGGTTGCTCAAAATAAAAATGTTTACACCTCAGGAGAAAGAGTGAAAGTCTGTGCAAGTTTTAAGCCCAACTGGAAGCATATTCAAATGTTTGATGGCTGTAAATGAAAAAGGAAAGGTTCTTTGTTTTATGAGATCAGTTAGATACAGTGTGAAGTAGTGTGAAGTAGGTAAAGACTTTTTTCTGGGAAATTAGTTCTACTACAGAATCAAACACGGTGATCTCTGATCCTTTCCACAGGCTTTGGAGGAATATGCCCTAAAATCAATATCAGATGTGCAGATGTAGAAAAGTTGGCATCGATTACAATAAATGCAGGAAAATTGAGAGCCATCTTGATACAGCCTTGAGTTTTCACAGAGCTGCACTCAGAGCTACACAGTGGCTGAGCCTCTAGCTGCTGCTGACGTGGCGGGGGAACATGTCTGCCTCAAATTCGAAGCATTCCCAAGCTTGTGTGGGCAGAGCTAGCCCTGCCCTGCCTCTACCACAACTTCACATCCCAGTCTCTGTCCTCGCAACTTCATACTTCTTTCTACTCAGTAGATTTAAAAAACATATATAGTTCTGAATATTTTTTTATTTCACACACACTCCATGGAGTAATGCATGCTACTCACAACATGATTTATTTGATTTTACCAATCCAAGTTAAGTAATCTTCACTTATCTAACTCTTTTTTGCAGGCTGCTACAGCTGCATTCAGAGACAGACAGGATGTGGGTGACTAACGTTGCAGCTCTTTGTCTGCTGACCCTTGTGGCCTCTGCAGAGGACAAGAAGCTGAGCAGCCATGCTATTATGCTGGCTGACAACAGTGCCAACTTGGCTTTCAGGTCTGTAAATCTGACAATAATCATTTATAAAATGATGACTATACATGTGTAACCTAGAGTTGTCTGGATGCACTCGAAAAAGCACTGTTTTCTTTAGAAAACGCCCCAAAAATTGTTCTTGTTAATTCTTTAGCCTCTACCACAACATGGCAAAAAAGGAAGACACAGAGAACATCCTCATCTCTCCTGTGGTGGTGGCCTCCTCACTGGGGATGGTGGCTCTCGGTGGAAAGTCCTCCACTGCCTCGCAGGTCAAAACTGTCCTCAGTGCCGAAAAGCTAAAGGACGAGCATCTGCACACAGGACTGTCTGAGCTGCTCTCTGAGGTAGGTACACAGATATAAAAGTACCATAAATTGAACCTTATAATCAACATGTTATATTTTCTCTAATCTTTTGTTATTCTACTCAAGTGGCGTCAAAATAGACCCACAGTTTATATTTTCTCATATCATATGTGACTTCCTCCCAGGTGAGCAATGCCAAGACACGCAACACCACCTGGAAGATCAATAACCGCCTCTACGGCCCAAGCTCTGTCTCCTTTGCTGATGATTTTGTGAAAAGCAGCAAACAGCACTATAACTACGACCATTCAAAAATAAACTTCCGTGACAAGAGGAGCGCTTTGAACTCCATCAATGAATGGGCGGCAAAGTCAACTGATGGCAAGCTTCCCGAGGTCACCAAAGACATGGAAAACCCAGATGGAGCTATGATTGTCAACGCCATGTTCTTCAAGCGTAAGTATACATAATCTCTTTGATTCAAAGCCAAGTTTGTACAATTCTGATCATGACTGAATGAAATCCGAGCTGTAACAGAGTCTTCTTATCTTTGTCCCACAGCTCACTGGGATGAGAAGTTCCATGACAAAATGGTGGACAGTCGTGCTTTTCTGGTTACTCGCTCATTCAGCGTTGCGATTCCCATGATGCATCGTACAGGTGAGTTTCTCCATCATGGCTGGTTATTATCGTCTGGCTCAAGAAGAGTGTTAATGAAATATTTTATTTGTTTGACTGCTCTTCACACAGGTCTGTACGACTTCTACGATGACACTGAGAACCGTATCTATGCTCTGAACATGCCTCTGGGCCAGAAGCAGGCTTCCATGATCTTCATCATGCCCTACCACCTGGAGCCCCTGAATCGCCTTGAGAAACTCCTGACCAGGAACCAGGTTAACACTTGGCTCAGCAAGATGGAGAACAGAGCTGTGGCCATCTCTCTTCCCAAGATCTCTTTGGAAGTCAGCCATAATCTGCAGGTAAGTGTTGATATGATGGTTCTCACAAGCATAGATACATGAAAAAACATCACCTGAACACCATGTTTTGAGCATATCCGTTTTCTCTGTCTTCTCTAGAAACACCTGGCTGAACTCGGGCTAACCGAGGCTGTAGACAGAGCCAAGGCGGACTTGTCCAACATTTCTGGAAAGAAGGACCTCTACCTCTCCAGCGTCTTCCATGCTTCGGCCCTGGAGCTGGACGTTAAAGGAAATCCATTCGACACCAGCATCTTTGGCACCGAAAAGATGAAGAACCCTAAACTCTTCTACGTGGATCATCCCTTCATCTTTTTGGTGAAGGACAACAAGACCAACTCCATCCTTTATATCGGCAGAGTTGTCAGACCTAAAGGAGATAAGATGCGCGATGAGCTATAATGATGACGTCATCAATCGTGTCAGGTAGCATTGTGAAATTTTTTCAGGATCCTGTGTGTGGTTGTTTAATGGCATGACTGTTACCTCATGAGCACATTCCAATAGAGAATCTGTGGATTGATTATCTGAGCATTCTGTTTTAAGACATCAAACCTTCCCAGGCGACCATTAAGTCTCAGTCTCAAGCCCCCTGGGATTGAATTAAAGAAAAACACAAAACACGCCTCAATTGAGAGTCCCATAAAGAAACAGCAGGCTGCAGCAGACAGCATGCTTATATTAAGTATGATCTCTTTTTCTTTACTACTTTATTTTTGCCAGTGTTAGTTAAGCAATGATTCACATACGTTTTATTGCATTATCTTTAATGTTTGAAGAAAAAAAGAAAATCTTTAGACAAGCTTTTTTATTTGTTATTTTACATTTTTATTTTATTTTACTTGTGCTTTATTTGGTCTCACTCCCCCCTTTTATTTTGCCTTGTCTGCACTGCACAGAATCTTTCCCCTGCACAAACTGAGCTTGCACTGGAATATGTGGCAAACGTTTGATGCTTAATTGATGTTCACCTGCCAGCCATACTGTGCCATTTTGTTGCTATAAAGATATTTTCCACAAAGAAGCTTTCGGGATTGTGTGATTATGAAATAATATGTTCATTTTTCAATAAAAATTTACAAAAGGAACCTACTGTGTGCTTGTCATATTTTCTTTTTTCACAAAGCATATCTGCATGCTATGAAAAGGCAGCTCATACAGTCTCCTGCAGTGGTGAACAGAGGAATCTGAGTATGCTAGGGTTAACATATCAAAAGAAAAGGGATAACAGTCCTTCCAGTTGGCTGGAGGTCAGGCAATCCTCCCAGGTCTGAAATGCAGCGATATGACAGTGGCTGCCCTTTACTCATATTCCTAATCTGCCATGACTACATCCAGATGACTTTATGGTTCATTTCTCTTCCAACCTCTAGCCTAAATAATATGTGAGTGGGATCTTTGATCTAACCAGAGAAAGAGCAGAATCTGCTGTGACAAAGTTAGGGTGCATGGTTCTCATGGTGAATGGGTAACTGCTGTCTCCAGCAGTTCCAGCATAGGAAAACCATAATTATATTCCAACACACTTATTTTTATTTTCACTATCACAGAAATATGTCAAAGCCTGATGAACAATACTGAATGATTTTCATTTTCAAAATGATGCAAACCCCTTTTTAACTGAGGGAGGAGGGAGTTCTGTTTGAGTGCTGTAGCACCACCCTCACGGATGTAAAGAGTAAAATTACAATGTAGGGATCCGGATGATGTGTAAAACATAATATGAACATTGTATAGAAGAGGTAAAGAAATATGACTAATGATATTAGTTATAATAACAATTCAAGAAATTAATAGAACATTAAAGGAACAGTTCAGATTTTGAGTCCCATCCCAGTCCTGTTTAATGTATATTGTATCATTTCTTCTGTGTTTCTCATTCATTACATGGTGGCTGCTATAGTCTTATTTGCCCCACCACAGTAGTCCAATAAATAATAACCACAGTTTCACAATAAACCACTTTTTTACACTCTTATAATCAGTAGTGAATTTTGTTATTGACTAATTTTATACAAATTTTTCATCACAATCACCTTCTTAGAATTAAAAGAAGTGACAAGAAAAAACACCTTCAAATTTTATGAAGCTGACTGTTTATTAAGGCATGGCTTCCTGTGTTTATCACAGTAGAAAATGGTATTTTTTAACTCAGGGGTGAATTCTGGTCATCTGGAACATTTGTTATTCTCCAACTCGTTCGAATATTTGTTTTATACATTAGAATAACATATTGCACTATTGCCTAATCCACAAGATGTTATCTAATCGGAAGAAAATATCAAATATAAATTAAATCTGGGGTTTCCAGCGGTCCGATGACAGCAACTGACAACAGTTTTCTCAGCTTCCAAATCTTTTGCGATATTGACACATGCACATCCTTTGTGTTGGGTCTTGGTCAGGTGGTTCTGGAGGAACCTATCGACGCCTCAGCCTTGGATGGTCGTCTCCTCTTCCGGGTTACACATCGCTCTACTCCCCTTCAAATGACCATTTCAGGTAATCACACTGAGACTCTTTCTTTTCACCTGATCAATGCTCCACAACAACCTGTCATTTTGGGATTTCCTTGGYTTAGGAGACATAATCCACACATTGACTGGTCTTCGGGAACTATATTGCAGTGGAGTACTCATTGTCACGCTATCTGTTTGAAGTCTGCCCTGTCACCTGCCTCTGGTTTGACTGTTCCCTCTGAGTTTCCAGACCTGTTAAAAGTTCCTAAGGATTATCTGGATCTTAAGGAGGTTTTTAGCAAGGCCCGGGCCACCTCTTTGCCTCCACATCGCCCTTACGATTGTGCCATTAACCTCCTTCCAGGTACATCTCCCCCTAGAGGAGGGTGTTCTGGCCTGCCTGTTCCTGACCTGACTGCTGTCCCGCTTGGATTTTGGATTCCCTTCTTGCCTGCCCCTTCAGATTTGTTTGCTGTACGGACTGATATCCTGGTTTTGACCTCTGCCTGTCTTTTCTCTGCCTGTCGGTCAATAAACCACATTGCCCACACTAAGACTGTCTGTTGGCGTGCTTTTGGGTTCTCCCTTGCCTTGTGTGCGTGACAATCCGTTTGTTTTAGGGAGTTAGGTTTAGTCAATGTCTTTTGGTTTATTTGTCAGTCCGAGGTTCAGAGAACTGCATGCTCCATCTTGTGTGGGTTTCCCAGATGATGTTTGTTCTGGATGAGGTTTACAAGTCCACTTCCTGACGGCTGGAGATTTCTTTGGGTCCTTGACATACTCACATCTGTAGGCAGGTAGTCCTTTGTGCAGGTTATTTATAGTTTGCTTGAATGTATAGTTTTGTTTGGCTTGAGTGAGTAATTTCAGAGACTCCTCATGTTTCTGTGGTTTCTGCTTTTCCTGGAACACCAGCGGTGCCTCGGTTGCCACTGGTAACAATGATCTCTCCTCTTCAACAGCAGGATCCTCAACATGACTCTCTGCTGACAGGACATTTGAAGAATCCTCTGTCTCAGTATCCAAAGACTCCTGCACTGGGTCACAACAATACTGAAATGATAAACAGGCTTTGTTAGTATGAAGCAGAATCTTAGAGACATCTTAGAGCCTATTAGACAACAGAAGAAACGCATAAATGATAGATCTGAAAAGTCTTCAGAGCAAAAGAAATATACTTTAGAATTATTATATTCTGCAATACATTGAGAAAAAATTGAAAATACACGGGACAATATTTCAATGGCATACCAGGTTTACAGGGCTCTCCTGCTTTTCCTCGTCTTCCTGCTCATCCAGCTGCTCCTCCAGCTGCTCATCTTCCTGGTCCTCCAGATGCTCCTCCAGCTGCTCATCTTCCTGGTCCTCCTCCAGCTGCTCATCCAGCTGCACAATCTCATAAGTATCAGACTGTACAGGACTTGAAGCCTCAGTGGATCCATCAGTTTGAATGTCCTTGCTTTCGCTGGCTGTGAATCAGATTTGTGTTTCAGACAATATCTTGTTATGTTTTATTTTGTATCTCTATGCCTTACCTATCTGGGCTGTTTGTAGTTCACTTGCTTCATCCTGTAAAAGGAAAAGCAGAAACTGCATTAAATATATAATCTGATATCCAACATGAGCAAAGGTGTGACAGTTCATTCGAATCCTTAAAAACATTTTATTATATTTGAGAATATCTTTCCGAAAATGCTTCTATAAAACAACAATCTTTAAGTTTTCTCTGTATCACTGGTGACCACTAAGCACTAAGTGAAAAATATTAAACATCTAACTCTCCCATAAATGCTTAGTTTGACCCGTTAATTRGATATGACATGAATATACTGAAAGCCAATCACGGCATCTTAGAGATTTCAAGCTTGCCCTATGATATCTTAGCAAGAACTAGAAAGAATGTCTTTTCAACTTACCTGCATGTCCTGGGTGAGGTTTTGAGGCTTTGGGCATGTACATTTCATCGTTATGTTGAACTTCCATTTCCCTTTGGCTAACTGGTGATTGAACCAGATTTGGCTCAACTGAATATGCCTCTCCAATTCCTWGAACACAGGAAGACAGGGGTTATAATAATAATAACATATTTGGGCTTTGGATACTGCTTTGAGCTCTGGTGGCTGAGAYGCTATATTTCCACACACCCATAACCACCCCTCTCATCCTCTTTGTACCTYTATCCTCGTGTCCTTCTGCTCCAACTTGGCCAAGACCTGGGCCATCATGCAGATAAGCGGCTCTTTTTTCAGTAGGTTGTGATCCTGGCTGAGGCGCTTCAGGTGCTGAAGAGAGTCGTTTGCGTTCAGCAACTTATCCTCTACGGCGTTTAGCTTGGCTGTCGTGTTGTTCGAGCAGGCACGGGTTTGACGGCTCAAAGTCTGCAGGCCGTAGAGCTTGTTTACGTATTTGGTGAGGGTCTGGGAATAGGGAATGCTATCAAGTTAACAACACAGAACTGGAGAATTGGTGAAAGATACTGAATGCATGAGGCAGATAAAAGTTTTCCCATTTTTAAGGATGGAAACCACCATCCCCTGTATTGTTTGTCTCTGACAGTTCTGTGCACACAAAGACTGGTAATGATTCTGATTTAAATTAGCATGAGAGACAACAGAGGGACATAAACAGCAAAAACAGACCTTAAAAATACGGTTGTCTGGACTGGGGAACTGCTGCAGTATCACTTTGTTTTGACTGACTAGAGTCTTCAGCAGTCTGTTGTCATTTTTAAGCTCTCTCAGCTGCTGCAATTCATCCAACCCCCGGTTTTTCAGCTCGCGGATGCGGAGCACTTCTTCAGAGTGGGTCTTTTGGTTTGAAACCTGCCGGGGCTTGTTCCGAAGCACCTTCAGGCCTTGGTTTTGAAAAGTTCTCCTGGTTTTTGTATCTGAGGTGAGAGGGGCAAGTGCATTTACATTGAATTAATATCAATGTATTTACATTATGAAAAACAAGACAATTCGGACCTCACACATATTAAATAATTTTGAATAGAATACCTTTCCCCTTCCCAGATAGTTTCGATCCTTGGAAAGTCCTGAGGTTCTGCCTTTTCACATCCATGGCTTTATTGTGCTTTTCCATCAAAAATAAAATAGGAAGACCTAAGACAGTACCGTACAGAAAGTGAAAGGAGTTTTAGGACCATAATTTCTGT